TTTATAGCAACATATTATTACTTTTTTTTTTAATTTTGGAAACAAAATTGGCGTTTTAAAATGAATAAGGTAAAATAGAGCTTCTTTAAATACATGCGTATTTCATAGTTATTATATAAAGTAATTAATCTTCCGGAACTGACGTCAAAACCTGTAACACGATTACTGACGCTGAGTTTACGAAATTCATTTAATTTATGACTAAAAGGCGCTAATTAATTTTAAGATAAGGAACTAAAATGACATAACTCGTATAAACAAGAATGTATGTATGCGTATGAATACTAAATTTATCTTAATAGAAATAATTTTCAAATTTATAAATATAAAAATATAATTGCATAAATGAATCAATAGATTCAACTCCGAGAAGTTAAAGGAAACGCGTACATTATTGTTGAATAATTATCAAAATTTTAATAGAAATTTATACAGGAATTGTAGTTCACCATTAGAAAATTATTTTGTCGTAATATTTTTTCAATTTTCTCCATTTTCTATTACTTCGCCATTACATGAAAAGTTTGTGACGTGAAATTTCTTAATATAGATTGGTAAGGAAGGATTTATCAAATGAAATTCTCTTTGGATGATTAATGAAAGAAAATTCGCTGTGGAGAGATGCTCGAAGTTTGATCGAAAATTTTCTAGTCGATCTTTTCAGTTTTTTTTTTTTAAGCTCGCTACTCTCGCACGCGTTCTTTAATATCGCGCTTCATAAACGTCAAACTACGACGGTTCCTATAACACGGCGGTTTTGCTTTTGGAAGACGTGCGCAACATATGAGTGCCTGGAGATCGATCGATCTGTAGTCACCTATATGTGATTTTCCAGTTAACGATATCAGCACGAAGCTAGCAGTGCATGGCGGTCTAAAGAATTCTACATCCGTTCTAAAAGCGATGAGAGAAATGTGTCACATTTAGTATTCTCTTTATTTATACATCATTATTGACATCGTTAGATTTTATTCATTGACTGGTGTTCTTTCTCATTCACGTCATTTTTGATATGTTAGATTTTATTCCGTTCAAAGAGGCATTAGTGAAGAGAAAATTATTCCTGTAAAGCTTTTGTAGTATAAATATGAATTTAATCAAGCTATAAAAAATCTGCTTTTCCAGAAACATGTTTCTTAACACGAAATTTTATTTTCTTTTGTGTATTAGTTTTTATACCCCGTCATTTTTTAACACAATGCTTTAATCATCTTTAATATTAATTTAACTTGAAAAGCATGGCCATAAACCTCTCGGATTACACGTGACGTACACAGCGCGGCTGAGGATTAGAAGTGACACAAGTGTAATACACAGTGTGTATTAACAGATGCATTTAACTTTACTCATGTTAAAGGATAGTTCAGTTCAAAACAGAAAATTTCTTCGAGATAATAATTTAATAATAATACATTCATTTTTACGTAATAACAATTCGTACTGCTGAACATGTGGTTTTCAGGTTAATAAATCTAAAAAAGCCACTTAAATATCACTTATATTAAAAGGAAAAAATAATATATGCTATAACCACTTTACCAATTTTTCTCTAAGTATATAATAAGATATAATACTTCACATATGTGTAGTTTTCCGTGTAAATATAACACTATGTTACGCGTTTAAACATGTAAATCCATTTTTGTATACAGTATAATGTGTTATTTTTATACGGAAAACTAAATCACGCACGTATATAAAGTCACTCACTATTACAGTGGTTTGCAGTGTTAACTATAATTTATAGTCATTTTCAGTGCCAACTATATATTTTTTCGTAGAATTATAAATATAATTATTATTATTAACATTATAACGGTAAAAACGGAGCTTCTAACTGCAATTATTATTCTATACAATTATAATAAAAAAAATACTTTCGTTATCAAATATTTTTCTCTTACAATTAATGTACTTAAAATTGCACGAAAAAGGGTTTCATCGTTACTTTTTCGTTATGATTATTTTATTATACAATTATTTGATTAAAAATTTTCACAAAAAAGTAAAGCCAACAATATTATGTGCAGATCCAAATTTAGTTTTTTATTAACTAAAAAATGTAAACTAATAAAAAAAAAGTTTTTCTATAAAAATGTTACTGTTTCATACATAAAAAATCGTGTGCTCAACAATTTTTTATGACTGTAGATACAAGAAAAAATTGATTTTGTTAAGGTATTAAAAAATTTAGTTGGACACAGATCTGAAAATAATCTTTTTTAAGTAGTGAGCCAAAATTTTCACGATGTTTTCTTCGAGTTGTATATCGAGCGAATCTCCAGCATTCCACGCTTGATCGTCGTGAAGGTGACTGCGTGCGATCAGAGTGAACTTAAAAGTTTTGTTCGCGAATGTGATGATCAAGTCAACCGATTAAAATCCGAGATCTAATCTTACAACAATCGTAACAGATACGTAAGTCTAGACAGTAAGTTGTTTGCACAACGTGCTGTAGGATAGTAACGGACATCCTCCGCGTGTGAATGCACCGGCGACGCGACGGTTCTATTATTATTGCACGTGCCGTTGTACCGGCAGATATCCGCTACGCGCGCGCTCGATACAGCTCCATACATGAATGACCGCGATATTTACTCGCCTTTAACATTCACCCTGTATATTTAATGCCTATTGAAGGCACGCCAAGCGAATGACATTAATTCTTACTAAAATACACGACGTGCGTTTATCACGGATCGTACATGACGGAGCTACGCGTCATCGCGACCGGAACGCTTGACGGATTATATCAGTATCGGGGTGCCGCATGGAGTTACTATTTCTGAAAAGCTTTGAAATAAAACGAATGACGTCTAATTTATTTCTTTTAATCATGCACTTCCCTAATTATTTTTGTAATTTTTACCCTATCGGAAGTTGATTACGAGCATATTTTTGCACAGAAATGTTGTGCTGATTAAATAAAAATTATTCGTATTAATAATTATTTATAATAATGATAATTGTTTAGATTAGATTAATGATATTAATTTATAAAAATGATTTATATTGATAATTATTTATATAATAATTCATAATTTCTATGATATACAATTTGAACGATACATGAAAGATGATAAATCTGTTTAGTTTCGTTGCTTCTTGCTACAACTAGGATTTTTTTCCGTTAGAATTGTACGTGGAAATTGGCAATGATGTACTTTTGTTTGCCGAACAAATCCATGACAGTGGCGGCCAAGAAATGCATTTATGACTATGCATGCCAACCTAATAAGTAATCCCGCGAAGTCTACGAAGATGAACAATCTTGCTGTTCACACGTGAAAACTATCGTGTGCTTAAATAAATCTGGAAATTTGCCAGATGATTTCTCGATCATTTTTATTTTACTTTCTATTTTGAGCTAATGGACTGAAAAGCATTTTCTCCATAAGAATTAATGAAATAAGACGCAAATTCTAACTCACGCACATTTTGAATATACGAAAGACACTCCTACCTTTTTATCAAATTACTAATTCAATAATAGCTTGGAACCGTTTCAAATACTTAACAGAGGTTCGTTTCTTATTTTATTATACAAACAAGAATCAGCATTGTGAAAACGCACATTTTGAATGTTTATAATGCACGAATTCTTTACAATATTACATCTTTAAGATTTATCATTATTTGTCAGAGACATCTATTTATTAATAATTATAATTAAATTTATAATTTATAAGCTCTATAAATACATACATATACACACACACACACACACACACACACACACACATATATATATAAATTTAATTTAATTAAATTTAATTCATGTTTTTTTCTGAAATTCGGGAACTTATAAAAATAAATATATATACGTGTATCCGTATATAATATCAAATATCTTGTCTCTCTAGTAATTTCGAGTTCCACAAATTTTTCCTTCTTTTTATTTCATGGCGTATCACAAAGTATCACGACACGATCACAAATGGTTCTGAACAAAATCCATTCAATTTTAAACCCCGATTCCTTCGAGATCTCCTGTTGCTACGAGCTCAGAGATCTCGAAAACAAATTCCTTCGCTCGGGCGACCCGAGAAAATGAGAAAATCGCACTGGGCTTTAAACTAGGATGACCAGATCTTTGGATTGCAATAAAATCGAGGTCAGCATAAGATGTATTTCTTCAATCCCGTACGATAAATGTAACTAAAAATATTTTAGATCTTCGCTGTTTACACTCTATGCTTTCGAAAAAAATATATCAATTTATTACTGCGACAAATATATTAGTGTGACGTAATTTTTTTTAAATGCAGAAGTAAGAAGTTATATCAATTATTAATTGAATTTGGTTTAAAATTTGTTTGTCTTTCTTACGTGGCAATTTAACATTAATTAATTTTTCTTTTGTAGCAAAGTCATCCAATGTATGATGATGAGAGTCTCTCAATTAAATTTCTTAGACAATATAATATCGATTGAGCTCCCGCTACAGGTACGAAACCTTATGAAAAAGCGGGGCACATTAAAGCATTGAATGTGCAATGGGCCATTATTTAAAAGCCAGCAGGTTCTGGACCCAACCTTAGTTTAAATCGCGCACACGCCCGCTACTTTGATACCGAGGTGATGTACCGCGAGAGCTGCCTTATTGAAAGAGAGGTAGAGAGTCGCACGTCGACGGTGTCGGCAGAAATAATCCCATCGATTCGCCTTCCGGAAGAAGCCACGCCGGTACGGTCGGGCTCGCGCGGTTACGAACGAAAGCGGGCGTGTAGATCCGCGCCGGGGTGGCAGCGGGTGTGGGCGCGGGCGGGTAGGATCATCCCCTAAAACGACAGCTCTAATATCAGCCTGGATGTGTTTGTGCGCGCAGGAGGAACAGACGGCAGCGAACGAGTGGGAGCTTTAAGAGCCGGAGAACGTGTCGTGCTGGAGAACGACACGCTTAACGTCGCCGCCGTCGTCATCGTCGACGAGCAGACGGGAAGAGAGTGGACTCTCTCGCATTTGGCGAGAATAGACCGGCAAGGAACCGCGCGACGAGGATGAGGCAGGTAGTCGTGTTGGAGCCAGCGGGCAGCGTTCTGGTCATCAGACAGACCTCCCTGGGTGGCAGCGGCAATGTCAACTCCAGCCCAACGGGTACCAATGACACTCACGCCTTGGTCAATCACGCCGCCGTTTCTACGATCGCCTCCAATGATCACAATCAAAACAGGATAGTCGTGGTGCGCTCGTCTACCTCGTCCACCTGCATGACCAGTTCGGTGAGAACGACGCTCGATCTTTACACGTGCTTAACCGACGAACCGCGAGTTGTAAAACCATTGCGGGATTGATTTACCTTGTTCAGAGACCCTTGACCATGTTTACTTTATGTTACTAGTCTGTTATAACATAGATTCTGGTTATATACTAACTAACTTGGAAATTGAATCCGTTATGTTAGCGTCCATTTTACTTTTGCGAGTTAACGCTTGCGGGAAAACAAGTCATGGCATAGAATTACAAAGATTAATCTGAGTCCCTTGAGCAGGTCTCGCAGTCTAAGACCGTACCTACAAATTCTTATTCTGTAGATTATCACTAATAAATACTCGATCGCAATTTCTCGGCAAAAATATTATTTAGGACTGTACATTAAATATGAAATGGCGTTATTTCGACACAATTTGCAATGTACCATAGATGTCCGATACGAGATTGCAAATCGGTTAATTAATTCTCATTCGTGAGCTGCAGTTATCTGGTAAATTATCTGCCGATGTTACCTCGATTTAACTACCACGTTAAACGTGAAAGTCATATTAGGAAAGTTCTTGCTAAAAACGTGTTGGCGGCAAAAGGTCAAATGATCGCTGAATGCGGGGGAAGAAAGTGCAAGACAGGTTATCTCTTTTCCTTCTTCGGCGTAGGACAGATGTCTTTGGGAAATATCCCGAGTTAGTCTCGTAACGAAGTGCTTACAGAATAAAAGACTTGCCTTTCCAGCCGGTGCAACTCGCGAGAAAAAAAACTCTGCCGACTATATAGCTTTACAATACGAAACGAGACAACTTCAATTATAGCTGGGAATGGGTGGCAGGTGGTACCACGAGCCTCGCCTCGTTCCGATGTAAAGGGTTAAAGAGGATAGATCGCTCCTCGTCGTGAAGGACGTTCCGGCACGATTCAGCGTCGCTGTTTCACGCAATTTTTGCGTTATTGCTAATTTTTTTCTAACAACAATGCATTGCTTTTTATAATTACAAGAAGATCGATTAACATTTAAAACATTAATGCATTATTTTTATCTACTTTTAATATAACTTTTTTAATTCCTCTTTATTAATTCTACCCTCGTCTGGTTCTTTTTAATGTAATTGTTCGCGTGAGATGTTTCTGACGTCCTAATATTATACGTCAATTTTCATTTCAGTTCTCTCTACCTTTTTCTCTTTCTCTTTAATAATTTACAATTAAATAAAGATTGATAATATTGTATACATTCTTTAGATAAAGATAATCTGTAAATTTCTTTTAATTATGAAATAATTTAGGTTAAATATAATAATGTGTACAATAGCATTTATGCATTTAGCGAATTTATGAGACTAAGATATCCTGAACATCTCATGTGAGTAATAAAGAATTAAACACAGAAAGAATATTTTCATTTTTTATGCTGACAAGTCTTTCTGATATTTTCCTTTTGTGTTTAATATTCCAAGTAAATTTACCAATTGAATTATCTTTGTATTACATTTCTTTTGATTTTTACAACCAATAAAATAACTAAAATTAATCTAAAAATACCAGTGGGGAAACCACAATTTACGATCGATTTGTGTGCCGTTTAGGCCGACAATCACGTATCGACCAACGGCAATAGCAACATCAACATTAACACGAACATTAATGGGAACCCGGGAGGCATCAGCTGCAAACCATCGTCGAAAGTCGGAATTGGTGGCGGTGCCTGCAAGCCAAATGAGAGAAACGATCACCTACGAAACGAGCACAAAAACCAGGAAGGAGTCGCTAACAGCAACGAGACAAACCCTGCCGCTGGATGTCGTCCAAGGACAAGCAAGGAAGCCGTTCATGAGAACGTCGTCTCCGACAGGAAGCTCGATAGCGCGGATCCTATCTCGCGTGAGTACTTCCGCCATTACTCACCTGCACCTTTGACAACTCGAGCGATCGCCTCGTAAATTATTTACCCGTGCGTCTGGTTCAGACATACGATATGTCCTCGTATCCTTGATATGACGAATGTTGAGGCTATAGATTATTATAGAACGAAAACAACTAATGTCGGCTTACATCTCAAAACTAGAAAGAAACATTAAAGAGTTAAATGAGCTGTCATTTGATATAATGTAACGGTAAAGTTATCTATATGAAACAAACTTCAGAAAAAATTCTTTCTAATTTTAATCGCCTAATGGAAGCACGAATCTTTATTACATATCAGCATCAATGTCGCGGTGCGGAAGTTCTCGTGATTGTTGTGTCGTTAGGAAAAGTTTTCAGGCTCGCCTGTCTAAGGCAGCTTTAAGTAGTTCTTGAAAATTATGGCTCTCTCGCACGAAGAGAGCTAAACGAAGAAGTGGACGAAGAATTAGTCTCGCGCGTTGAGACTCGAAGAAAATCGCAATGAAGTTTAAAACAAACCCCAGCGTTTTAAAGCGAAAACGGTTACACTGCCGCACGAGAATGGTGGCACCGGAACGGAGAGAAGCCTGACCAAAGTTTCCACTCATCACGATGGAAACGGAAACTGCACACAAACTGCACTCGAGTTTTGCACGGAATGACTTCGGGGCCCGTAAACCACGCGATTAGCAGCGAGTGACTGTATGAGGGAACGATAAACTATCGGACCTACAACTTTTACAGTTTGTACCTTCCTGTGCGAACCGGTTAAGAAGCAATTAACTACTCCTTAAGGCTATTAACGTGTGGATAATTGAACAAGATAAGAGTAAGGCTAATAAAGAAAAATTTAAGACTAGAATAATGAAATAAAAATTTTAATGGGTAATAAAGTATTTGTATTTTTTTATGGATATTAAAATTTTTTTATTTACGTAGATTAAATTTGTATAGACATCTTAATGTGTTTGAATTTTTTATTTTCTCCATTGTTAAAATTTTTGTGTAGATAAATATTCAAATTAGAATATCGATTTTCTCTCTAAAGCATTTATATCTTTGATCGTCACGGTTTTATTGAATCTACATATTTTTAATTTTTAAATATTTTAAATATAAAAAAATTGATTTATATCTCAAAGGTGTATGCTATGCCAAATTCATACGTCAATTAATGTTGCGACACAATGCCGTAACATCATTTTTCCGCACATATAACTGAATTACTACACTTTTTATATCTCGCTAAATTGTTTCGTGCAGTTGCAAATGAATTTAGTTAGTCGTTGTACATCGGAAAATAGTGGTCCATATACAACTGTTACACGTTGAGCCCCGATAATACGCAATGTCGATACGATATTTTTTGCACGATGCGCCGACATGCATCGATAGCTCGGGAATAAAAACAAAATGTAGTTGAAAACCGAATGCTGGAAGCAAATATCCACAATTCGTCGAGCGGGTTTACTCGATCCTTTTCCATCTGAAAGGCAGCGAAAACAGAAATGATCGATATGCGCTGAGAATCCGTTCTATGAAGGAGATTCAAAGCTTCTCATCTCTAAATCGACCTACTTATCATCGTTTTTTGAGAATTGCGCGATCTTTTCTGAAGTGGAAATTATTGATCTGCATTACAAAAAGTACGTGGGAGAAATGGCAATGGCAAATATACAGTATGATATGAATTTCTATATAAAATAATAAAAATTGCATATTTTTTACATGCAAGTCTTTTCTGATATAATTTAAAAAAAAAACTTTAAATAATTTCGCAGAATAAAATGCGGTTTACTTGAGATTATAAAATTTAATTATTAATTTTATCATTTAATTTTTATCTTCTTGTTAGTGAATATTACTAACGAAACTTCTGCTGCTTCTTCACAAAGTACAATCACAAACTTTTCTATGTAGGATTTCTATTATGGTTACCGTCACTTTTCCTAGAAACCAAGTTTTCCCTATGTACAATTTCATCATATTTCGCGCACTTACACTTCGAAGACCTTGTCTGACTTCGTGTACCCTCCCACCTTCGTTTTTCTACCGTGGAAAGAGGTTTCGGCTCATTTCCAAAGTTGGTTGTATGCACAGCGTGAAGATGCACATGCACTCTAACTCGTGTGGCATATGCACAGTTGCCGGGTGGCTGCAGACACAGACGGTTCCTCTATTCTTTGAGCAACGTTTTTCCATAATGGGCACTCGTGCATAAATCCGATTCCGAATATAAATAGGAAGAACGAGTTGTGTGCCGCAAAGAGAGAGAGAGAGAGAGAGAAGGAGAGGGAAAAAAGGAAAAAACGTTATGCGGAAAGTATTACCGTTTGATGTACAGAAAGTACCAAGACGTGGATGTTAATACTAAAACGTTGCGCAAATTTCGAAATGACAGATTTTTACGACTGCCAAGCTGTAACGACGTGGCGAAACTTAACAACTTGCAGGAGCAGTTAGCCATGGTTGTGTAGGAAAAAAAATCGAACGCTTATTTTTTGCAACTTTACATTTAACGTAGTTAATATAAAGTTTGATCGAAATTTTAATGGAAAATGTGGGCGAATGTTTCACTTCAACGTTCAATACAAATCACGTTTAGTGTTATAAAAATATTTGTTTAATAAAGATTTGATCGTCGTATCAGATAAAAAATATGACTTTTCTTCTTACTAACCGATTAAAAGTTTCATAGAATTTATTTATTGGAGAGTTTAGAAAGAGATCTGAAATTTAGGTATATAAATTATTCGCAAATCTAATTGAAATTATTTATGCAAGTATTTGTCTGTTTCTCTCTCTAAAAATCAATATGCGAATTATTTTGTGATGTTCCTAATATTCTCGTAAAAGTTTGATGAATGCGCTTGGCTGGACATTTTCTGTATCGTGACCCCGGCTTTTGTGACGCACGAGACCTTCTCCATCGTGCTCCTTATTTATTGCCGACCTTGTTATTTATTGTTAGTGCCACATAGGCCGAGAAAGTTTCTCTTAGGATCTATGGTTTTCCGATCGTGTGCAGCCTTAACCTTTCGTAGTTCACACATAGCACCTTTTTTAGGGTTGTTCATCTAAATTTTAGCAGTAAAGAAAAAAAATAGAATTTAACAAGGCCATCCTCCAGTTGATATTATTTTGTGCTAATATATATCTACTTCTCGTTTATAAACAATAACTATTTTATTGCAATAAAATTGCAGAGTTATACGTTGTATCAAAATTACAAAACTTCTCCTTAAAGGCGCGTTTAAAGTAATTATTAATTTATTTTCTAAAAATGCAACGCTATGTTTGTTATTCTATCTTTGTCATTTATTGTAAAGCAAGGATAGAAGGATACAAATAGTTGTACTAATAACGTTTTTCTAAATACACCCAGAGAAATAAATAATAATAAAATAATTTTAAAAAGAGTTATTTAAAGCTACTTTTATATATTTTATTTTAAATTCGCATTTTTTCCTGCAATATAGATTATTTCTGGCATTACGAATTATAATTGAAAAATATCAGGAAAAAATTCTATTGTCTCTATTGTATTTTCTATTCATCATCTAATGTTACAACGGTTATAAATATATAAAAAAGTTTCCCATTTTTATTCAAATAATTATAGTTTTAATATCTACTTTTTTTTTTATCTTCTTAGAAACAATAAGGAAATTAGTAAGTTCACAATTTAGTAACGCATAGTATAAGGGAAAACTCCAAGGTAATTTGTACTTCTCTTATGACTACCCCAAGCGAGGTTCTTCCTTATCGACGCAAAATTTCATCCCTAGAATCTCTTGCGCCGTTATTTCGAGATAGACACTGACAATGTAACGCTTCATTCGAGCTTTTGAAGAAGCGCACCCCGACAGGGAAGTACCCCCGACAGCACGGGGTAATTCGTAGTTCCGGCAATATCCGCCAGAGCGGCGATTGTGCTGCCTCCACCACCCCATTCGTGCACGCTTTTCATCGCCACCCCTTCACTTCGGCAACCCTTCTTATCCACGACCTGACATCCATGGACATCCTCTGGCCTATCTCGTTCCTATCTTGATCTATCCTATTGCCTATTCGGCGACTAAATCTGGTATAGAACCTCTTTGAAAGAAGAGCGGGCCCTTCCGCACAGAAAAGCTTTTGCTTTCGGCTTAATTCCAACGCCCTTCTCATCGTTGCGTACTTATTGTCTATATCTCGCGAAAGACTTTAATCCGATGTCTCCTATTCAGGGATAAGATCTGATAACTTCGTTCGTGAAACACGAATCTTCTTCTATCCTGGCAGGAAGTGTACCGAACTCGTTCAGCGAATCCGGGCTTGAGTTCCTACGGACCTAGCAATCTTATTGATTGTCTTACTTCTCCTGCCGTGATACTTTCTCTCTCTCTCTCTCTCTCTCTCTCTCTCTCTCTCTCTCTCTCCCCCTCCTCTTATTTTTGCCTCTCTCCTTCTCACTTCTTTTTATCTTCTATAATCCTCTCTCGTAAACCGACTCTTTCTATTTGCTCCCTTATCCCCCCTCTCTCTCTCTCTATTTCTTTTACCATTACACCACATTGATGGCAAGCTATAGTCGACGACTAACGACCAACAACTTACGTGTCCGGTTTCGGTTTCTCCTCACGAAAAAAACCGTGTTGAGGAACTGCCTATACGTGACGTGTAGAAAGGAGAAGAATCGAAAAGAAGGGAGGAAGATAAAGAGAGATGACAGGGATTGAAAAAGGAAACGATGAATGGGAATTGCGAGAAGGTGATTGGACACAAGCAGCCGACTTCTATTTAAAGCCGCGCACGGGGTGATAGCAGAGCTAGCTAGCTAGCTAGCTTGCTAGCTAGTTGACTGGTAATTTACGAGCTTTTACCAAAAAGTTGGACACCTCGGGGATGGCTCCACACTTTGACACGTGACCCACTTTTATTGGGTTACGTAATTGATCGCCCCGCGCCTGCTTCGTGTTAGCGCGACCTCCCTTCTCCTCTCCACTCTTTTGTCT